GTTCAGTTTTGGCGGAATGTAATCAAAGAACAGTTTTGGGAAGAGAGATTAAACTGCTCAGCATCATTCGGCTTATAAAATTTACTGGTTAGTAGATACTCTAAAGTTAAGCAAGAAGTAGAAGACTTAGACAAAGCCAGATAAACTTGGCAATTTCAAAATCTGACAATACATTATAAGGCTCAAGATGTTAGCTTCTATGTCTAGAACATCAAAAAACATGTTACGTATATATATACTTGGAGGGACGTGTCTGATTCAGAGTTGAATCAAATTTGGTATGACATTTATTGTCGCGTTCATAATTATTTCATAAGCAAGCCGCAAGATATTCAGTTTTTGAAAAGATACTGGTTGGTGATTATCAAAATGGACAGCTTTCGAATGGGGTTCTTCGGGCCTAGCAGCCATAGTGACCTGCTTTTGTTGAATCTGTAGACGTATATCTTTCCCAGCCGTTGAGATAAGACCAGGAACGTCTGAAAAGAATGAAGACTTCATTAGAGGGCATTTATTATCATATGCGTGTATAAAGCAAAGAATGAATTAGTGATGAACATAGCTTTATCATTTTAGTTGAATAACGTGTATCAGGGAAGCATAGTAGTTAAAGATACTAGCCCTTTGATTTATAGTTTGATTTTAATGGTCGCTTAATGGACAAAAAAGGAGCATCAAATAGTTAATCTGTTACGCTTTCCATACCAATTCTGAAAAGACAACCATTTCCTTAACAAACTGGCCACTTTTTACAGTAGTGAGTCTAGCTGAACAACAATTGGAGAGGCCATTGGGAGTAATATTGTAGAGACAACGCGGCAATGGTAGTTTAGGTCGTTCAAAGAGTTTTGAAAAGCTTTAACAGTTCTGTTCGCCTATTTAAATAATAACAAAGAGTGCTAACAATTCTACAACATGTGCTTTGTCTATCCATAAAAATTTCAATTGGGTAGGAAGCAGCTTGGAAGATGTGAATGCAATGAAGCTAGCCACTGTTACAAAAGCGAGGAAACTTAAATGCAAAATAATTTTCATCCATTTCGAGTTTAAACTTTGCATCAGGTCAAATGACAATAGAATTTACAATATGACAAGGGATAACAAAAGCTGTTTCATATTTCTATAATGCAATATAGTTGATAGGATAAAATTTCTTCAAGGGTGTTATCTAAATAAGGATAATTCTGCCATGGAGCTAACGACAAAACAAGAAATCATCCCAGCAACCTAGACAACGCTGTGACGTTATCTGATGTGTGTTTGCCGAGTTCTCTTGCGCGTTCGATCTTGTTATGAAAGACTCTAGCAATGAGGCTGATAGAGTCTAGGTTTATGCACTAGCAATTTGAGTGCACTAAAGAGACTGTGCAAACGAAGCTTACTCTTGTTATTGACCTTCCCATTTGTGGTTAAACCTTGGTTTTAGCCATCCATGAACCATTTAATCGCAATTTTTAGCAACCGATTTATGTAAAAGCCGATCATCTTCGCTTAAGGTTGTCATGCACAAGAAAGTTCTACAGCAAAGCAAATATTGATATTGCGATCTTTTCTGCGATGCCAAAGTAGAGATGCCAAGAAGATGCTTTGTTTTCGATGCAAGTTACCAGAAGGATTTGCTTGTCGTTGCACAGATTTGATTGCGATCAGTATTATTAATCAATTTTCAAATTCTCTAGACAACATAACATTCTTTCTTTTCTCTGCTTCCGTTGTCTTCGCTTAAAGTTGGTAAATAAACTCTTGATTTGAAGTTTCAGGCTTCCAAAGTTGTGTATAGTGCATCTATTTATGTTGCAGTTTGCTAACTATGGATCTTCGACGGTTGCAAGCATGTAGAGACATTTTACTGGATACCAGCATGTCAAGTTAAATTCGTATTCATAATCAAAAGCTGAGTAGCTGATTCGACTGGTTCCTCCATTGAATCATATTTATTGAAACTCATAAAACTCGGGAATCCTCAGCCTGCTGGAGCCATGCATTTGCCTAGCAAATTACCCGTCATTACGTTTTTGTATAAATGCATACGACGGGGGTAGTTATTCCCATCCAACCATGGTAACGGCTTGTTGCTATATGCTGATCGATGTTCACATGCATCTAGTACAATGTTCTGCATGTTAAACGGGGGTTTACTAACTTCGATTTAAAAGTAGGACAGGTTGTACTTAAATATTTGGCCGCTCTTGCTTACAGAAACAATTCCGTGACAAGTAAGTAAAGCAGAATATATGAGATTGGATAAATGGCGCTAAAATGATTGCCTTTTAAATGTTCATCGACCGCCGCGTGATTTCCATGTTCATTTTTGATACATTTTCATTTCTCCCGTTAAATTAATACGCCCCAGGTTCCTTTATCAAACTTCACTTACATCTAATGGATTATCTGACAGACTTCTGTATCATATCTATTTTTAATTTAACTTGAGAAAATATACTTTAAACCTGCGTTTGGTATTCACATTGGCACAATGCTTCTTATTGATATGTGCTTTAATTCAGTTAATGATTTATGATTTAGGCTGTCTCGGTTTGCTACTGTTACCGTGCTGTTACTTTTATGTCCCATCCTTTTGATATCTCTTGAAACTGAAGATCCTTTAATATGACGCTATCTGAAAGTGCTATATTCGAACTCAATTTTACCGAATCGTCCGAATTTTACCAAAAATCAATCGACCATTTTAGTTTTCACCAAGCAAGTGCCGTGTGATTGAAATCAAGTGTTTTGAAGGTGATATGTTAGTAAAATCTTATCCACGAATCCTTTTATAAAAAGGGGAGAAATATTTAAACAAATGAAGAAAATTATTAACCGATAAGTTTTTCTGGGGTTTTTCGAGTAAATATCGTTTATAACTAACTTCCTCTCAGAATCTTTTTTTATTACGTACGAAAGTTCATCTTTGCCGTTTTTGAAATTTTTGTAACAAAACAACCCCTGTCTTACTTGGACTGATCGGTCCACTGTGAACTGAGTTATAAACATTAGCTTTTCCCCTTGAAATGTAGTATATTCCTGACTGCTTTTGGTAGCAAAAGAAACACATCATTTTGGTTTAGATGTTAACCACACCCGGCGCAAGATCAAACTTGATCAGTTTTATCAATTGATCAAATGTGGAGAAAAAGAAATCGTCAAGTTCAAAATAAAAGGCCGCAATTATTGTTTCGGCAAAGATGAAACTTAAGTTCTCTTGCAACATATACACTCTTGAACAATAGAGCTTTCATTTTCTTTAGAAAGCACTGTGTTATGTATGAAAGCAATATTTTCCGAAACCCAAATATATCCCAATAGTTTGGGCTACCATAAAAGTTATTGAATCGAATCGAAAAAGAGAATTGGAAGAAGCTTGGATACAAGTGCAATTATTACATCACTTTCTTTGCCTTGATTTTGTAACAAAATTTCAAAACATTCTGAAAAATACGCTTTTTTTAGTTATCGTAAAGTGACCATCAACTGTAAAGAGGCCTGTCAATCTAAGTATGCAGCAGCTCGTGGACTTATGTTGGATGTTTCCTCAGCTTCAACTCATTAGCGAATATAGTTTTCTCACTGCTCACGATATTAAAGCGCGGAAAATAACACTTCTGATGTATTTATCGTGCTTACAAAGACTTTGAACTTCAACCAGGTGTATTTAATTGCTTTCAGGCTTCTTTTTATCAGAGTACAGAAAGGAAGCACCCGTACGTCTCGGGATTGTGAAGGAGATAGAATGAAATTCAATCACCACACCAGTGCAATACACCTTGTTTTTGCTCACTTGCTAGTGTAAAGAAGAACGTTTTCCTTGATAACGCTCTCTCTACTTCTAAGTAGAAAGAATATCATTCCAAAGTATTATTTACTTTTTATGCCTTGTTTTCCTAGATTCATGCCCTGACCACTTTAAGTAAAATAGCAGAACATCGCTTAGACAATTCCAGAGCACTTAAGACAATTCAAAAATTAAAACACGTCTACCCCCAATTGAAACAATGTTCATTTACTGTTAAATGAGGCACGATGTTAGAGTGTATGTTCTTCTATTACCAACTTCTGAACAGTTTGTGTCATCCTCCATACTTTCCCTATATCGTACTAATGGTTCCCTATTCAACTCTACCCTTTAATCCGTCCTCAAATCTGTGTAACGACAAGCAGACTTTCTGGCAATATGCATCCAAAACAAAGCATCTTTCTGGCATGCTCTATATTTTCCCAATGTTTTACGTCTTGTGCCAAATTTTATCGTTGCTTCGAATATTTTCCCCAGGTAAGTGAAAGCGAAGGAGGTCGACAACCCTCCTTGAGGTTGCTGTAGTAAGCCCACTAAGATGAGAAACTGATGTTATTACTTTGGATTTTTTTCGGTAAGAATCTCGCTAAAACTTCTTTGCAACATTAGATATTTCTAGCTATAGTTTGGATGAAATTGATGAAAAACCAACACCCTTTTTGGTTGAGGACCAGTCTCTTAACAAGGGAACTGGTGACTAGACTGTTGCCATGACATCAAGTTGAATTTACACAGTCTCATTTGGTGCATTTTCATGCTTGAACAAAACCTGAGAAAATTTGTTTTTTTTCCGTCATTTGCTTATGCGGACGAATTTAGACTTTTTAGCAAAGCAAAATAAAGCTCGAATATGCCAGGAACGAATGGCGATAGCTAAGATAAATGAAAATCTTCGTGACATATCCGTAAAGTCACACAGATGTAAGTAACAGAGATTCGTTAACAGAGATGTAAGTACTTGAAGGTCGAAAAAGTTTTGTACTTAAAGGTCGGTTTTTTGTGGCAACGGCCCTCAATATC